GTGTGCTTTCATTTGCCCTGAGGTAGCTATACCAGTTGCTTAGCACTGAGTCAAATACCATGTACATGCAAAGGCCCTTCATAGAAACACCATTTTATGGGGGGTTTTTTATTCATGTTTTTTTGTTTAGTTGTTAAGATTTCTGTTAAGATTCACTAACTACAGGATAACCATTTTCTATTAAGAGGCTATTTTCTATCATGGTTTTCTATGGTGACTTTTCCTATCTGTCCCTTTCTATATTCTAATTACTTGACTGATTTTGGTTCTCTTCTGAAGATAATAAGAACTCAAATGTGACATAAACTGTAATGCATGTATGTTTTACATAGAACTACTAGAAGTTATATATAATCTGCAGATGGGTTGTTTAAACATTTGGTAAATCGTGTTTTACTTCATGTTATTAATTCTCAGCATTGTTAACTTGATGAAATAGCGTCATGTATATAAGGGAAGTTTTTGCTTTTTTAATCAATATACCAAAAGCAGTATTCCCAGCTTGATGGTGCAGGTATGTGTTTTCTTTTTGAAGTTACTGCAGCTGCAAGTATTATACTACAACTGACCTCTCAAAGATGCAGGCGTCCCAAAGAGAGTGGGATGTATTTTTTAACTTCTTAAGTTCCTAACATTCTCCCTCCACCTCATTTTGGAGACAGTGATTCAGACAGATGATTATTATCGAAAATTACATACCAAAATGGAAGGTAAAAATAAGGTGCATAATGTCAGTCCAATAATGCGCTCTCTGCTACTCTTCAATTTCTGGAAATAATCTTTTCCATACAAGCCAGCCACAGATGCAGCAGTAGGATATTCCCCCTATTCAATGCAAACTGTGCATCGTCACATACGCCTTCAGAATACCCACAGTTACTAGTTACTTCAGAACTTTTTTTTTTTAAGTCGTGGTTTAAACCTATCTTTATTACTGAAAAGGGCAATGTTAAAAATGATTCATTAAAGATGTACTTTATAGAAGATTTTAGTACCCATTTGCTATTTTTATGTTAACAAAGCATAACAGTTTAAAGATCACTTTAGATTACACTTTAGATTATACCTAGAAAAGTCATGAAGTGTTTCAAAATGTATTGTTACTTTAAAATGTTGAAGAGAGAACTCTGCCTCCCTTGTGAATCTACTATAAACTCTGTGGTTAACAATGCTGTTTAACAACATGCAAGACAGTGCAAGTGAACATGAAACTAGATAGATGACATCATTTTATAGATATTTAAGGATTATACCATCCCGAGAGTCAAACGTTTCATAAAATGTTCAAACTGCTTTGAAAATGCTTATCAAAGGTGACAGATTTTGCATTCCTAAGAAGGTGAGGTCTTCCATTTAAAAATGTCAGCATTAGGCAAATTAATTTATACATTGTTGTTAGTTTCCATTTCCATATTAATCTTGTATGATTCAAGGTTCCAAGTTTAAACTGTTGGTGACCTTGCTGTGTCTAGTGCCACCCAGCACCCTTATGAGAAGCACCAGGGCTACCATTTTAGGGATTTCTTCTGTTTCACAGTCTAATAATTTGGCCAACATGACAACCGCTTTGGTAAAAGAATCGAGTGTTTATTGAAAAATTTAACTCTAACTTTTTCTCTTATTAAGGGTTCTTGAGTCCAACAAACCTAAGTTAGATCACTACAGGAAGAATTTATTGCAAGGAGACAATCAAATGAAGCACCAAGGAAATGATTCAGAGCACCTACTGTAAGTACCTCAACTAGATTTTGTAAACATTTCCATGTTACCTGGTCTTTCTATGAGACTTCCTTGGTCACACCATCTTCCATTCATCTATCTTAGCAATGAAGTCCAAATCCAAGGACTGTCCTTAACAATAGACAGCAATGCTTCTGCACGTGCATTGAGAAAGCAAACTTTAATCTCAGCATTAAACTCAGGAAGTGATTTGCAGAACCAAGTGCCATCTTCAGTTCTTCTTGTAATTCATTCACAGCTTTCTAAATTTTCAGGCTGTTAACTGTATTAAGCACTGTAGCTGTGATATCATGATAGAGTACATTCTTCCAAAACTTGTGATAAATTGGGTAAATATGGTAATAATGAAAGCAATTGAATTCAGAATTAAATACCCAGTGTGGTGGTGTTTGTTTTTGGTTTTTTTTTTTTTAAATTCAGGTGAATTAATTGCAGTGCTGGCATGATGGGACCAGAGTTTTTGCAGATTTGCAAAACTGTAAGGTTAGCTTTTAAAAGGTGTGTAGTTAGTTCTTTTCTCAGCTTTTTTAATTCACTTCTAGGTTTGTCTCAACATACGGAATGGGATTCATTCTGCAGCCTGTTCTCCTCCTCCTGCCTAAGAGAGACTTGAAGGTTGTATAGAGGAAGTCAAAAAAGGTATTTTGCATCATTTAATTATTACCCTTTTAGCGGCCTGAGTAATGTTGATGGAGTCCAGAAAAATGTGTTTTGTCTGCCTTAGGAAGCATAAAATGGAAACATGCTTGAGCTCAGAGGGGAAAAAAGGCACATGGAGAGATTGGAACAGGGGACTTGCACTTGACAAATGACCCAAGTGTGACAAAATTTACTGACAAAATATTAACACTTCATCTTCTGAAAAACTTGACATTATCAGAAAAGGTTTCACTGTACCTTTTGGAAAAAAACCAAAACAAAACAAAACCTCAAACAAATTGCCATTGTCAAAGCCTAATTCCCTTCTGAGCTAATCATGCTCCAGTTATCTGAATCACTGTTGTTCTTCCCAGAAGTTGTATACTGGTGCAACAGAGGTACATCATTAAATGTCCCTCCACTGGAAGAAACGAATCGCAGTTCTCTATTGCTCCAGTTTCCATCCCTGAATTCCCACTGTTTTTCTTGATGTTATTCCCCTTTTATAATCATGGCAGTGACAAAAGGTAAGGCTCATATATCTAACATTCCCCCAACCCCTTAGAAAGTCAGAACAATGAATGATTTGTGAAGGCTATCTTGTTTAAGATGAAGGACTAGAAGTTTGTTGGAAGTACAGGGGCTGATCCTGTTCCCACTAAAGTCTATTGGAGTTAGGCATATGAACAGGGAACTTCTCTCAGTGTGTCTTAGCTGTCTTCAGATTCTTCAGATGTGCAGCTCTCTTGGCTATCCCTTCCAAGCCTAGAGCTCCAGAGGTGGAAATTCTCGTATCTTGTAGCACATACCCAGAGAAGTAAGGGAGTCTGATCCCTCTAAATAGTAAGAGCTTGTAGTAAGTGTACCCCAGTTTTGGGTATTGACTAATTTCACAGATCAAAACTTTTTTTTTTTTTGCTGGTGTTTTTTTTGTTAATATCTTGACTTCCATCTTAGGAGGAGTCAGATGAAACGTAGAAACTGTGAATGAGATAAGAGCATGACTTAGTTATGATGAACAAAATACATCAGCTGACTTAGTGCTAGGCAACCCCACTGCAGTCAGTCAGGAAAATTGCTGGTTACTAGCTAAAAGCATTACAAGTCTCTTTCTGCTAATAAGATGGGGAGCACAATGAGGCAAGGGGAGAAAGTATTGTTTACTCAAAATCTCCACTACCTAGTCCTACTACTATCAAGCTACTACTCTGAGTGTATTGGTAGATGTCATGCACAAAATTCCATCTCCTTCAGACAGGACAAAGAAAGGGAGTATGAACCTTGGAAGGCCTGCTCTGTTTTCTGTTGCACCAAACTAAGGGTATTAGGTTGAAAGACTTCTGTTCAATTATCTTGACATGTAACCAGCGAGGCTTCTAGTCTTGGTATTCCTATGCTACTTTTGCAGAAAAGATGCCTCCCCGTCTTTGAAAGAACAGAAAGACAAAAGCAGCTTTGCTAATAGAATGTCTCCTAGAATGGCAGAATCATATTTCAGAAATATCAAATCATCCTGCTTTTCCATCATGAGCCTTAGGATTTCAACATTCAAACAATTTAGAATTTAGATCACAAACTACTCTCTAAACAGTGATTTGATGAAATGCAAGAACCCTGCAGAAGACTATTTTTCTTAAATATGACAGGAGGAGTATTTATTTTGAGTACAAAACTATCTTGTTTAAAAAAAAATGCGTGGCATTGCAGAGTTTTTTTCAGAAGTAAAATTCTTGAGGAAGCATCAATGTCTTTAAAGCCCTGTTTAAATCTCAGGTCAACGTTTTACTTGTATTTTGTTGTAGTAAACATGACACTGAACCCAAATAATTCCATTTCTATTAAGTAAAAATTCTCCCAGACTAAAATGAACTTACTTCATATTAAGCTGAAACTATTCATATGTATATGCAGAGATGTAGGAAAATACAAAATTCAGATTGTGGTTTAGCTAGGAAAAAAAAATTACTTTGAAGGATTAAGAAAACTAGAGAGAGAAACAGCAAGTCTTCAATTTCTACAGCTGATGTGTCAAAACAAACCTATAAAAGAAAGTATCAGGACAAACACTGCTTGCTTAAGGTACACCAATAAAGCCAAGTCTGTCCATGAATAAGTCAACAAACTGACTGCAGTCTATCAGAAACATAAGTATGCTGGCATGCTCTCTGATGTTAAAGACAGTGTACATAACCAAGACTTATACAGCTTGTGTTTTCCGCTGATTTTGTAAGTGCGTTTGCATAGGAAAACAGTATTTATAAAGTAAGTGAAAAGATTAATCACTATTTGTTCAGGTCTCTCGCAGGTATCTTCCTATGGATAAAGCTTGAAAAACAAATATTCAATACCTGAAAAAACTAAAATGTGACAAGTACATTACAGTCTGAAATACATTTCAGGTACTTTTCCCGCATTGCCTGCACATTCACAGAGTCAATAAAACAATTAAATGATGATTTATGCTTGGTAACTTCCTTGGCAGTAATTGTTATGCCATGGAAAACTTATTTACTGATTGCAGACACCCATACAATAACATAAGGATTTTTTTATTGCATGAACCAATCAATCAGTGTGAAGCACAGATGGTGAATGATGAAAACAGAAAATACAATGTTCCTTTTTCCTTTATTTCTAAAGGGAATATCTAAGCTATATTGTTGTCACTGAGAAGTGGGTCTCTGCTCTGAAATGTAGAACAAAATAATGTGGGATGACCTAGAAACTGTACAGTTTCTGTGGTTACAGAGGTAAAACCATGCTGCAAACATGAGGCAACAGAAAATAAATTACTATGTTATATATGTAACTTGGCTCATGTATTTGTCTTTAGAATCACAAAGAATTCAAGAAATGTCAACATACTAATTCTGAAAATCAGATCAACAACAACAAAAAGAAAACAACCTTAAATCTGTAGCACAATTTCAGTACTTAAAAGCTGTACTTTTGAGTGAGCTCAGTGAACTACAGTGATCTTGTAAAGGCTGAATACCACATCAATATTCCCAGCGCCAGCTCAGTAACTTCACAACTAATCTCTTGTTTTATTATGAATATATTACAGCTCAAGCTTGCTCAAGTTCCACAAGGACTCCGTGGCAGTCTTTAGGGTGAAGAAAAATCACAGGTTTGCCATGTGCACCTATTTTTGGCTCTTCACTCAATATTCGTATCTTTTTTTTCTTCAGTTCTGTCATAGCTGTTTTTATGTCATCAACCTTATAAAAGAAAAATACAGTTCACACAAATTAACATATTACACTGTATTAGGCAGCAATAATATAATTCCTTACTAAAACATTATTTCTAAATTCTAATAGAATTCTGAAAAGAAATGATAAAAATTTTAAAACATCTAGCCTTAAAAATAAAAACCCTAGAAAAGTTTGCATGTTATTTGAAGATTTCATAAACTATTTTATAAAATATTTTAAATAGATTGTGCTACATTTAAGAAATTATTAAACAAAAATCACCCATGCACAAAGCCTATTGATTTTTTTTTATGTTGTTACTTTATATGGACTCCATAAATGATCTAAACTCTGCATTACTATTACTGAGAAGATCATATTGCTTTCAAACTATCAATAACTAAAGAAGAATGCCTCCCTGTCTAATTGATGACAGAAAACTGACTCATTAGATGCTGGTGAAAAGGGAGGTCAATGGGCAGAAGGTAAAAGGAAAGTCTCTTTTAGATTTATATATCCTTCTACCGAGTAGGTTAAGCTTCGTGAAGTTTCCTAAGAAAAACCTTGGAATTATCAGAAACATATCCAGAACATGACTTGGTTTTCCTATTGAACTTAATTATAATAGCCTTTAACATACTATTTCGATACAGTTTCCTGCAGAAACACATAAGTAACAAAAAGGCCTACACTGTATAACGGATCTTAAGTCTGATAGCATGTCATCAGATGAAATTTTAATTTTTCCAAACCTTAAATAGATTAATTCTGTGAAATAATAAAACTAGTATTCAGTTTATCAAATCTAATAGTTAATAATCAACAAAGACCTAGAAATAAAATAATAGCATTGCTGTTTTTCAAGACTGAGGTGTCTGGACATAACTTGGTGAATGAATTTGCATGATGACATTGCAGGGACGAAGGAAATACCTAGATTTAATTCAAGGAACAGACATTAGTCAATTCCTACTCATTTGCAGCAGCTTTGTTCATGAAAATCCTGAACTCACTACAGTTCTTCCTACATGTGACTACCAGTCTGTTAAAATAAAAAAGAACTAACTGTCAAGTTTTATCTAAAATAAAAGGTCATGCGTAATGTGCGCCATAGCCCCCTCCAGGTTGTTTCCCCAAGGAGAAAGGCTTCTGCAGCTGCTGCTCCTGACCTGCAGAGATGGCCAGAAGAAGAACTGTCTGGGCTCAGCTGGAATGAATTACTGCATCCCCAAGGAAGCAGTGAGAGTAAACAAATGGAAAGCCTGTGGGTGCATCCGTGGTAGAAGAGTATCAGGCTTGGATTTCTCTCATTCTACCAAGTGTCCAGCATGTTTTTCATTGCAGGTATTAATGAATTATTCCTGGTCAGGAATAATTTGATTTCTTCTTAAAATACTTATTCTGTCTGAAACAAATTCCCTATCAAAACATCTGTCTAAAAGTTTCTTTTGAATCATAAGACATAAGGAAGAAATGTCTTTTGATAAACTTGTCAGGCTTCCTATCCAGTATGGGAATAATTTTTACAATTCAGCTTTTTGCAATAAAATTTTTCATAGAAAAATATTTCTGCAAAATACTTCTTAAATTTCAAATGAACAATTAGTTGACACCGAAGTTCTTTTATTGTTTCTCTGAAAGCGATTTTTGCTCAACTTCAGAAGACGACATATCTTTGAAATGGTAAGATTTTCGATTCTGGGGAGAATGGAAAATTGGAGGAGTGAGGTTAATATCTTTTTGATTGATTATGGGAGTGACCAAATCTGTTTTCAGTCCCACTTAAACAGCAGGTCAACAATGGATTGCTTTATCCTCCATCTAAATTAGTCTATAATCTTCCATTTGTTTTTATGTGGAGACAAACATGAGGGCCTTAGGACAATCTTTTTCTTTTTTTTTTGTGTAGAGAATCTGTTAGTGAGCTACAATACTTCATTTAGGAAAATCTGGCTGCAAGTAGCACTAGTTCGCTTGATTCACGGAAATAAACTGCTAGATTATGACTCCTGGCTTGCTTGACCTACTGTATACAGTTATACATTTTTTTATTAACACAACACTTCTATGTTGTCCAACATGGTATAATTAGCATGTCCCATTCTTCTCAATTTTCATAATTAACAGTATGACTTCCCTTGACAGCCATCTTTGGTTTATCTGCAACAAGGTCATCTGTCATACAAGATGGAGACCTACACAGAGCAGTTTCTGCTGGTAACAAATATTTCTTGAAATGTCTTAAAAAGGATTACAAATACTTGAAACCCTTGGGAGCTTTGAGCTCTTTTTGCTGAGAAATGCCTACAACTTCTTTCTCCTGTACTTTTAAGTACCACTGGTCTCACAGAGGGCTGGAGGTTTTGGTCTTACTGCAAATCACTTCTTTCTCCTACACCACCCATTTCCTAATTCAGCTGAGGTATTTCACATTTCTATAGCAGAACTGCCTAGGAATACAATTTAGGGTCAATTTAAACAGAATTAATTTTCTTATTCTTGAACATCTGCAAATAGGAAAACTTAATATAAGAAAAATCGCAATGCCCATGTGTATGCAAAATTTCTCAATTTTCAGTGAAACCACGCAACTGCAAACACTGGTCTTTATGTTGTGTTCTGAAAACAATTTTTACTTACATAAGCAATACCATTACTTTTTATTATTACACTTTGCATGAAATAATAAAGTTTGCAAGACTCGGATCTGTAAAATATTAAAAACAGATCATAGGCAGCAGCATGAAAATTTCCTTCAAACGTCTACGCTAAAAGATGAGTGTACTAAATAAGTTAACTACTTCACCCAGCACCTTTACATCTTGCGTACTTCCAGACCAATCTCTTTGATGGACAAGGAACAACAGGACAGAAGGAACTCTGGAGACTTTACAGCTGTTTGGTAAGTAGGACTAACAATCTTTTGTGACTTCTGAATACAGTTTATCAACTAAATATCAAACAGGAAGAAACTTCTGAAAATCTAAGCTATGCCTTAGCTTAAACTTACAACTCCATCTTTTTCCAGTGTATGTCCTTTCTATGTCAGGAAGTTGACACCTGTCAAACACACTTCACAAGCCCTTGTCCACCTTGCACACTGGATACTTAACCCTCCCCTCCCCAATTTAATCCTTATAGCATAAAAGAGGAAGAAATCATCACATAGCTCATGAAATTGACCTGTGACTTCCAAAACAGAAAAAAGGCAATTTTAAGACTTCTTCTTATGCAATATAAATTCTCACAAATATGACAGCCTTATATATTTGTTCTTGATACAGGTCAAACCTGTGAAAAAATTATGCATACTTCAACATCTCTATCTTATTATATGATATATTGTGTTAAAGTACCTCAATGCAGATATGATGCATTCCTCCAGTTTTGTTTTTTTGCAGGAAGCTTGCAATGGGACTTTTCTCGCCTAAAGGATGTAGAAGTTCCAGCTTTGTATTTCCCAGCTCCACAAAAACAGTGTAGACACCATGTTCGGGAAGAGCAACAGTCTCGCTCACCTGTGCTCCTAACACATCTTTATACAAGGACTGCGCTTTCTCCAAATCAGGTACTGCAATTGCTACGTGATTAAGTCGGCCCAGTTTCCACAAACAGCTTGGAATGTTTTGAGAGAAGGAATTTGATGATGATAAAGTTCGTATTGTGGGAGCTGAAGTCTGCAATCTGGTAAGAAGCCCTGAAAAAAAGTGAATTGCGCTGATACAACGCATTTGAGAAAGTATCGATATCTGCTCTTTCTCCTCTTCATAAGGCCTATGTAACTCCTATGTCATAAGCACACCCGTGTGCAAAGCTGAAGGCAGACTGAGACCAAGAAAAGAGTTATTCTGTAGTACTAACAGCTCAATGAAAATTTTTTTCAGAGACTGTGTAGTTATTCAGAAGTATAAAAAAAAAAAAAAAACAAAACACAAATTCGCTGTAAATGCTTACATATGCCTGTTACAGAGAGGAATACATGGCCAAATGTAACGGTCAACTGTATAATATACTTAAAAGTGACTTCTGAATTTTTCAGAGCTTCTTACAAAGTAGAGAAAGAAATGAGAATATGCCTATACCTCTAGAAATTATAACAAACAAACAAGAAAAACAAAACAAAACACAAAGATAAGGGCTAACATGTAGACAAAAGATGGAGAAGGCATGGAGAAACTTGGTGCCATGAAAAACTGCTTAGGTATCTACAGAATTCTTCACTGACTGCTCTGACAAGGCAGTGCTGAACTTTGCACTATTTGTGTCAAATTGCTGTGTTGCTCACAAATAGTTCCGGGTTGCTTGTTTTGGTTTGTTTCTAAATCATTAAAAAAGATTAAAAAAGGAGGATACTTGCAAATTAATTACATTAAAAATTAATCTGTCAGAGTACAAGAATCTGGAGAGGTTGGGGGTGGGGGAGAAATTGTGATCGTATCAGTTGTTTCTAGCACCAGAATTAGGATTAGATGAAAGGATATATTAATAAAAGACGCATTTTAATTTCATGCCAGTTTGCTTTAGGCCATGCCAGAGTTCCCAATGCCTCAAGGCCAAGCTAGAGGCATCTTAGCATTTTGGAAGTCTTTGAGACATTCTTAGCTTTAAACTCACAAATTTTCTGTTTTGCTAAGAGATTGTGCCAAGGATGCACTGAGATTCTGGATGCTTTGCAATACACTGAGGATAGCCTGGCTTGCATTTTTTCAGACTCTCTGTAATCTGTAAGGTTAGTAGCTGTAAGTAATCAGCTGGCTTCACTGTATGAAACTGAGAACGACTGTTTCATAGGACCTCAAAACTCTACAGCTATCAGTTAACTTTACTTCACAAAGACACCTGATGCGGTCCTTAAATCTATTTGGGTTTTGTTCTATTAATAGTTGGCTGATCTGCCAGTATTATGCACATCAGACTTTAAAGATGTACAGTTGTACCAATTGAGGCTTACATTCTATAACAGAGCAGATTATGAACATGAAGTAGGAAGTCTGAAGTACCCCATAAAATGAGATCCTCATCCTTCAAATGTTTATTTATAGGCTTGTTGCTCCTTCTGTGGGGCAGTGTTCATTGACTTACATGGCTAAGCAATCAAACACAAGCCAAATCCAGCTGAATTGTCATGTTCTCTATGGGGAGGTTACAGAACTGTGGGTCGCAAATCTGTAACTTGTCACTTGGCACTGCTCTACTGTCAATCATGTCACATTGAGGAAAACTCCCAAGCACGGAGAGGATGTTGTCACCAAGTCTGGCACACGGGGGCTGTGTGTTAGCTCTCTGCACCAAATGGAGGAAGGGTAGTCTGGCTGTTCTTCAATCCCAGCAGTTTCAAGGTGGCACTGGCATCTTGGAAACTTTGCCAGCCAACAAGGCTTAGGTCATCCCTGGTGCTGCTCTGGTTTGTGCTGGGGGTGGCTTTTGGGAATCACATGGGCTCCAGAGTTCCTAGAAACCGAGTCTTAGTTTGCTGCAGCTCTGGTTTCTTCCACCAAAAAGCAATTGCACAAAGGTGTTTTCATTCCTGTACCCCACTGATCGATCACTGACAAGCACCGAGTCCCTCGTTCACTTTTCTCCTGCAGGCCATGGCTACTGAGTAAAACAGCATGCTTTAGCTACACAGTTTAACCTGCCCGTACTTACTATCAAAAAAGCGAACAGTCCAGATACAGTGAAGGGTAACTGATTTTGCATTTGACCTCCAACTTGTACCTTAGACAGACAAGCTCCTCCGTGCGCCATAAATATTGTTTGGAGTTTGCTGCGAAAGTTTATTCTAAGCCAGTTAACGTCAGTTGTTAATGTATCTGCCACCTGGGTCACAACCCCTTGTTTTTGCTTGTAACCGCAGTGCTGTGTGGCTGTGGCCCGTACGGCGCTCACGGAGCCGCCCCGGGCCCGCCGCCCCCGCACGCAGCGGCGCT